GCGCATGAAAGTGCATGGTTGTGAAAAATGAAACTGACTGGTAGCGGCAGTCAGTTTCATTTTTCACAACCATGCACTTTCATGCGCCGGTTTTGGTTACTGCCTTTTGGCCGCCCTTTTGGATAAGAGAGCAGAGTGAAGATTGGAAGGTTGAGAGCACAGTGAAAGGGAAGATAGAGAACTCATATAAAATGCGGTTGAAAGAATATTGAGTACATGCACAAGAGCAATTGTTTACGATACCCAGTCATATCACTGAGTATCCCTAATCACCGATTATTATGATCTAGATGTTCTCATCCAGGAAGCCCAACGGGACCTATGTGACCCAGTCTCTCCTGGTTAGGATTTTCATGCCAGGTCTTAGTTTGACCGCCCTTGACCTTCTCTCACCCACTACCTGCCTCAGCAAACATCAAGCACCGTGACAGCCTATTTGGTGACATGCGCAACACGTCTCGAATAGCATAGCCTGTGTAGATCGAGCACTTGTTCCAGTAAACGACTGCAACTATCTAAAACTGTGTCTCACCTCAGCCTTGCTTGTCCGGTTACCTAACCACTCTCCCCCAGCCACAAAAATATACACATCACCGGAGAATTTAGTTTGGATCAAACCTGCGAAAATGGTGATGGTCTTGTTGAATTACCCGATTACTGAATCGGTCATCACTAGTTTGTAACTCCAAGATTCTAGAAAATACTTAATAATGCGCTACTCAAATAGTCATGCGATTCGAACGTAATCCGGACTCCCGCAACGCGGTGAAGTGAACAGAGATGTGCGACAGTATTGTCCCTCGGCTCGTGTTCTCGCAGCTGGAGACGAGACGAGGCTTTGCGGGCAACAAACGACGGCGGGGAACAGCGGCAGCGAGACGAGACGAGGAAACACCGGCAGAAAGGTTTTCTGTGGGTCGGGGCTAAGGGTAAACCTGCAACGCCAAGCAAACAGAACGCCCTGAACCAAAATGGTCCAGTGAGATATAAGCACTCACGATAAAATATTACTGGCGCGGTTATCAAGCGTTCAGTCATACAATTCGCCAAATGCCCTTCGTCTCAGTTCCTCTGTACATCATCATCACTAGAACACTATGGGTCTTGCAAAACCATGGTCATTTGTAAAGATTACGGAAATTGGGAACAAGGAGAGAAAAACATGATTGTAATTTTCGGTTAAACGCCCGTTGTTCTAACTTGGAAAGCCAGATCATAAATGTTGGTTCACGTCCGTGTCTTACCGAACGTTATATCATCAGCAAAACACAGTAACGCTGGAACAACGCTCTGTCTCTCGCATACGTGAATTACGTTGCACCTGTTGTCCAATGCAGTCAGAATATTGTCTTATCGTTGAGCCGATCCATATTCTTGGTTGGAATACCTCTATGAAAACTGCGGTTTGCGTACTTTCGAGAGGTCATAAAATCGTGGTGTTATCGAGCCTTGTGATTTTAGCAGATCAAAGGTCGCGATTGATATATGGTTATCTTCTTCCAGGGACTTCGAGCACTTCATCATTTGCTGCTGAGACACGGTGAATCTAGGACGGCGAAAAGCTCCATCTCTCAATCTATATTGGAGACACGGAATACTGTCAATGTTGATCAGGCTTTCCGCACCATTTATCACACGCAATCATCTATGCCAAACGACTTCGGTTTTTTGGATGTTTAGCAAACGATTTGAATTCACGTCACTGATACTTGTTTATTCTCCTGCTCTGAAGCTGGGGCACCTCCTGGCTTCTTCGTCTATCCACACCCACCCCTGTAGAGGTCACTCCGGCAAATAAACACGCTGAGGGGTAGTTTACCGGTCAAACAAAAATCCCACTAGTGGGACATAGGAGCGGGGTACCTGGGGCTTCCTCTCGACGGTGGGAGAAGTCTTCGCACTTCATTGTACAGCTACCGCCCGCCCAAGCTGAACAGCTCCCAACCAATAAGGCGCTGTCCTGTCCACGTTCGGCTTGTCTCATTGGGCGCATGAGGCTAAGGGCCAGTCCCGAAAAGCGGACCGACAATCAACGCACCAGCGAACAGCAACCTAATCGAAATTCAAAGACCTTGGGTGATAGGTCTCTAGAAGCTCCTACACGGGTGCTTCGCTCACGCTGCCGCGTTAGATTTGCGCCCCGCTGCCTTGCGTGTCAAGCTCTTGAGTCAAAGGCTCCGATTAGGGTTCCTAAAGAAAAACCCCTTTATCGGTGTGGGCTGCCGCGAAGTACACCGTGCCCAAAAGTCTTAGGCACCCAATTGGAAAAACTGCTTTCCGATCTATCTGGTTCTTTCTTTCAATCCCGGATAATCCCAGACTCCTGCTTACGCTACCCATCGAATATTAATCAGCATTTTACCAGCAAGGTCAAACAGCCAGAAATTACGGGACTTTTGAAGCCGAAATTCCCTTTTCACTTAACGGCTTTCAATGCTCGCACATTCTATCAGGTTGATCAACAAGCTACCTTAGCTGGAACCATTAAAAATTTCCATTTAGATGTATGCTGTGTTTCCGAAACAAGCATACAAGACCCAAATTCGATTATCTCCCTGCGTTCTCCTAACCCAATCTCGACCTCACGCTTCACTCTCCGTAAGTCAGACGATTCGATATCCGATTCTCGCGGTTTTGCCGGCGTTGGGGTTGCCGTAAGTGCCAAAGCTGAATGCTCGCTTCTTGATTGGATTCCAGTCAGTGCCCGACTGTGCGCTGTGCGTCCCAACGGTTCGTCTCGGGTCAACTGCTACAGAACGTAGCGCCGACGCTTTTTCGTCGTATCAGTGTATGTACCGACCGATTGCAGTACACCTGAAATCAAGGATGAATTCTACAAGGATGTTTCTCAATTACTCCAAAGTGTTCGATCAACGAACATCTTGGTAGTCGCTGGAGACTTCACTGCTCAAGTGGGATCCCTGGACGAATCAGAAAGGCTTCTTGGCGGGCCGCATACAATCCCAGCCAACCGGGCGGACAGCCTAGATCTCCTACTTCAACTCTGCGAGGACCATGGACTGTTCTTATCAAGCACGAACTTCTCGGAAAGATACGACACTGCCTTACACGGAAACCGCCAATCTCTTCACTGCGCTGGACCCAGATCGACCACATCAACATCAGTTACCACTGAAGAGGGTCTATTAAAAACTTCCGTTCTTACTGGTCCATACCTGGGGATACGGATCACGCGTTGCTACGAGCCAAATTCTCCTTACGTCTGGCAAACAACCGCAGAAAAGCCACCGACAACGGATGCACACGATACAGCGTTAGCGATTGCTGCAAATCGGCATTCGAAGTGGAACTCTCCGATCGCCTATCAGCTCAATCACCATCCGAAAGACTCAGTGAACACTGGAAGCTATGCCAGTATCTCCAAAGGGGCCACCAAAAGACAGCAACCGTACAGGCGCACGATAGTACATAGTTAATGGTTGTACATACTGAACTGTGATTTGACATACCCTATCTGCTGATGGTTCAATACTAGGATTTTGTCATAGTGAAAATGGACAATTCATGAAGGTTAAACTTCCAGGGATCATGAGTGGATGCACAAGCGTCATTGTCCACTACATTCAGCCATATCCCTCAGCGTCTTCAACCATTGATTACGCTGGTTCCGATATCCTCATCCAGGAAGCCTAACGCGGCCTATGCGAACAAGCCTACTTGTTAGGTTGTTCATACCCTCATGCCAAGTCTGAGTTTGAACCCCCCCTTTGCTTTGAGCACCCATCGCCCGCCTCGGAAAACAACGCGCGCCGTGCATATCTAATAAATAATATGCGCATATGCACATTTCCCAACCAGCGTAGTCTATAGACCACTTGGACCTTTGGGCGACCGTGAATACTCAAAACGCTGCGCCACTTTATATGAACTTGCAGTTCATGACACCATGTCTGGGCTTCATCCATTCGGATTGAGAATCGCAACTAGTGCTTGTCCGCCATTGTTCGGGTTACGATCTATGCACATCCCCATCTACCTGTTATATGGACTAAGGGTATTGAAATCTACAACTGTGGGGATAGGTCGTGTAAACTAAATGAGGCATTAATAGTGCTTTTAGAGGCTAAGCGGCATAGTGAAATTTCGTCGACCATGGCGTGTGTGCATCTCTGCTTACTTTATTTTTTGCTATTTAATGTTCTCTCTATCACACTTTGCCTTACTTGCCATATGTCCCCGAGTCACGATTGTTACATTGAGCGGCGATTGAAATTTGTTCCGACTCGACCTTATTGATCTCAACAGTCTGTTTTGGATGGACTCGCAATTTATGAGATTGTTAAACGTGCACAGGGAAATATTGTTTCAAAATCTCTCTCATCCCCCTAATCCGATTTCTATAGAAAGCGAAGAACAATGTATGTATCCGATACAGATGATTATGCGGATGATGATTCCCACAGTTGATCCTCTAATACTGTTTTCTTTTTAGATTGGGTGAAGTGGCTCTGTACGTGTCGAGTCGGGATGATGTAACTTATCCACCTCGGAGTGTACATACGGGCAATGCACCCGCGATCGAGGAATTCCAACCTAGTTTCGAATCCTTCCAGCGGAGTACCGATCGCGGTGAGGTTTCATTTCTCTCTTTCTAACTAATGCTACGAATCTGCTGTAATGCTCTCAGATTTATTTGCTTTTCTTCAAAGAGATACCTGTGAAATCCATTGCCCTGTTATTGCAATCGTGTTCTGTGCATTCATAATTAGAGTTATCTTTCGTTTTTCATCTCAAATTAGACTAAATCGAACTACAAGAAGGATTTCGATCAAAAATCTGAATAACTCCCTGCCACACTTTGATGAAAACCAGTGCCAAGAAATGTTCACTCATGATTACCGGCAATGTGAGGTCATCGTGGTGACAACCGACAAAATGCTCTCAATGGATAAGGTACGGTATGGGGCCGGAAGACAGAAAAGCTGTCAATTAAATAATTTGAATGGCCAGGTGGCCCGGTTCAGATCTCGAACCCTAGGTCTTAAACAAGCCAGTGACAAAGACTTCAACCACCACCAGCTCTTTGCAGTTTATTGTCTTCATCCATGTTGATTTTTGCTACCCATGTTGCGTTCTTTTTCTATTCTACCGTTTTGTGAATATGAACCGGACATAAATCATCCGATCTTTCCATGGATGATTGACTCACTATTAGGTCAAAATGGACTCTACTCGGTACCACAAAGTGAATCTTCACTTGTGACCTGTACTTGTAGCCACCCACCCATCTGACATTACTTCTCAGTCGTTGGCTCTCGTAAAGATGCTTGTCTTAGCAATACGGTTCCACCCTTTTATTTGGTCCCGCGCGTTCAGTCTGGCATAGTTAATCAGCCGGCTACCCAGCGAGCCAAGTTTAATTTGTTGACTAGCTCGACTTCTCTCCTATACTTTTCAGTATGCAATTCGATGATTTGTATGCATGCGCGTGTGTGAAGTTGTCTGTACACACAGTTGTCCGTTTCTTCAGCTCGATCATGGTCGCAAAACCGCCTGGTTCCTACACACGCGCACACAATAAATGCACGTTGTCTTTTTCGACCGCAATCGATTATTCGCGCTGACCGTCCGTTTGTCCACCCATCCTCTCCTATAGATCCCGCTCCGGGAACCGACCGCTTAAGTCGGTCTTCGATCTGACAGGCGGACACTGCTGTTCGCCTTGTCTGCAGTTTTGGTCCAAGTTCGGTTAAGGCTACACGAATACGCGAGCAAGCGAGCGGACGGACGGACGGACGGACTAGCGATCGTCCGATCGGCTATACACGCACTCTTGCGTGTGCAGTTGCATGCATACACGCACGCACGCGCAAGTGTGTATGCGCGCGCACTCTGATCGAACGTTATTCTTGTCTATTTTTAGCCGAACCAGGTTTAGCCTTGCCATTCATCCAGCCACCCATTCTGTCCCGTACGAACAACAACCAAGTGATCCCGCCTCCGCGTTCAGTACGATCTTCCCCAGCCTCTCAAATGGGAGTGAATTTCGATCCGTTCGTCTTGCCGTCTTGCCCTCACCCTCTTTCTCGTCACAATCACGTCACATCACGTGAATCGCAGCGTTTACTTGCAATGATAAATGAATGCTCGTCCTTCCCCTCATTGTGTCATGATCATCTGTCGATTTGTCTTGTAGCCGTCACTAAACTGGGTTAGATCGTGGTATACACTATTGCCTTTTGTCTCTATAACGAAATTTGTGTAGTTGTTTTGCTCTACTTTCTGATCTCATGCTGTTTATCTGCCTCCATCTGGTCTATTCCTCCAACAGATACCTTCGTCTCTGTGGCTAACCCTATCCCCAGCCCTCCTGACACGGCAGGTTCAGAGATCAATCTACGATTAGTGCGGAAAGAAGCATACCGATCGGGTCCTTCTGCAGACGATGGACTGTTTCCATTTTCTGTCAACCGACCATTTGCTCCAGAATCCAATCGGACGGATACACATTATGAGCACAGAGACTTGTTACCCGCAAACCCTGCTAGCACTCCTACCCCTCAGATCAATTTTAAACCCCGACACACCAATATCCGTTCCACTGCGCGCATAACTGCGTCACAAGCCCTATATGGCTCAACTCAGCCACAGTTAGGTGCTGTGGCTAGTTTGGCCATCGATGGTGGTCTTAGTCCAGATCAACTACTGCACATTGGCTGCTCCGGTCCAGATCCTCCCCATCGTTCTCCGCCCGGCACCTCTATTCCCCCATCCGTTATGCCAGAAGATGAGTCTTCGGTTAGTCCGAATCGTGCAACTGGATCCACCGCATTTTACGCGCGCCACTCACGTCCCACTTATGCAGCGCATCAACCCATACTTCTCAATCGATCCGGTCAAAGCGGAGTTGGGTGTGGTTCCACGTTCCGTGGGCCCTCACGTGCTCACATTCGCATTCCAGTTTGGTCCAGCAGTTCTCGGGGTTACTATCCTCATCCACATCACCATCCACCGTTCCACTTGAGCACTACAACCACAGCCACCTCAATTGGAGCACGTCGGGGATCATTTCCATTACAAATGACCCGAGTCGGAGGTCTGGTTTTGGACACTAGGGATGGGACGCACGTACCAAACACACAGGCCCAAACTGAGTTAGGATCCTCGGGAACCTACCAATCTCTGTCTGCGTGTACATCGCCGACCAGTGTGAAACACCCGAGCGACTCTTCTTCCTCACCACGAGGTACTGCTTTTTTCTCCTCGTCCAGTGTACCTAGTCCGGCGAATACTCCACCTTTACCTTCAGTCACGAGTACATCAGTAACCGCTCCCACCAGTTGTGTGGATATTGTCCGTTTGGGACCTGGAGATACAGTTACACATGCCTTATCAGGTGAATCGCGCTACACTGCGCATAGTCTGATTCGTATGCACTATTGCCCACAGCCATACGTCAGTTTAGGACCGGTTGATGACAGTCGTGTGACAGTGCCAATCTGTACTACACCACCATGGTTCTCGTCGGACGGTAGCTCTGGGAGTGGTGGGCCGGTTTCGGTTACAGCTGGTCAGGTACCCATGGTACCCGGCAGTCAAGTCTTTTCCTGGACTTCTTTCACTCCTGCTTTATCACAACCGAGCGAAAAATGTAAGTTGTTCTTGATCATTCTTTTCTTGATGAATATCCTCAATCGAATCGCATTTCTGATACTGGTATTAGCAGCTCTGACGGACGTCAAACTGAGACATGAGTAAGATTCATGCATATGCTGGAGTGTGCCAGGTTCTTGTACATGTGGTTGAATGTTTAATTTGCTTATGTTCGTGGTGCCTTGGAATGTCACACACACATTTTATGCTGTAATGAGTAATACCGAACACAAGCTCTCGCGCACAAATGGAACATATAGATCTATATATTTCAAAAAGAAGAAAGCGAGCACTGAGTCATATTATTTGTTGCAGTATTTCGATCCACACTAGGACTTGCTATCAAACTGTAATGCGAGGGAATGAATTGGGTATACTTGTGCTTCGTAGTGTTTGTCTCTCGCTCCCGCATTCCTCATCGGTTGTACAATCGTTGCATAATGCTCATTGATTGCGACGTGCCGATTCACTGAGAAATTGAATCCGAGTCACTTCTAGTCACATTTGCTAGGGCCATAAATGACTGCATCGCTCGGTACAGATTTTCACGGTCAAACTCGCTGTTAGCTCTCTTGATAAGAACATGTTATCCTTATGGTTATATCACGTTTCATGTGAAGAGAATCCTGATCAGTCTGTTGGTAGATAGACACTCGCTAGTCCTGTTCTCTGTTATTATTACTGTTTACAGGCTATGCAACGTGATTAAGTTTTACTTTGTCCTCACTTCGGGGTTTTCTTAAATAATGAGTAAAACCCTCATTCTAAGCAGACAAGTGAAAAGGTTGTCTCAATAGCTGATCACAAGCCTACACCAAACAACGACTATGTAAAACCAGAGCAAGATGAAACAACTCTTGGGCCTATGAACGGCACCATAAATTGCATTTAATGTTTGATTGTGCTTAGCATCAGACCTACTTAGCTGCTCAAGTAAGAGCACTCAGTTTTCGGTTGAAAGTTAAGCTTAGACAGTCAGGGGTCTCCAGTATTTTTTGTTGTCGCACGAACTCTCTTCCATGGTCCATCTCTGGTTTTCATTCAAACATGATGCTGTTTAGCACGGTTGTCTATGTCCGTATTCGTGTTCTGTCAATTAGCTTAGTGAATAACTACGCTGTGTGTGAGGTTCATCGATTGATCTATCTGACCAGATGCATATTTTGTCGTACACGAGCGAGCATGTTTATCGGTGCTATGGTATGGTTCCGTTCTAATGTATCCACGGTCGCCTGGCCGTTGTTTCACACCCTCTTTTCTGTCTGCGTACCGGTACACGTTCATTCCATTTCGTGCAGATTGTTCGCGGTTAGTCATAATCACCTCTGTCATCAGGCGTACTAAAGCTTCCATGTATGTGTGTGGGGGTATATCGCCTGTTGCACCATTCCGAACCCCTCTTATTAACCGAGATGTGAAACTGTGGTTCCACGCCTGGTCATAATCTGATCCCGAATGTCTGATTTTTAATCGTCATTCTGATTATACTTGTAAATGGTTCTCCATAGATATAGTCGGACTTTTTATATCGTTTCCTTTTTTCAAATCAAAATCATTCTATTCGATCACCACTTCATCCTCTGCAGTACTCGTCACTATAGATCCGGAGCTAGCTGATCATTCACGATAAACATAAATTGACTGGAGTGGATCATGCTTATCCCCAAGTCGTGAACCACATGCGCATCGGAGTTACCGAGTCGATGCACCTAACCCAATCACATGTTTACATATGTAAACATCAGTTTCACATATTCATCGCTAACCGACTACTTTTTGTGCGTTTCCATGCACTTACTATCCTACCTAAACTGGGATCGTATGTCCTATCATTGAACATACTAGCAAGGATAATCCCATTATTAGGCCTTTTTCCCCTGAGCCGCCACACACGTGTAAATCATCCTATTATTCACTGGTCACGACAATCACGTGGACGTCGCCTTTTTAAATTGTGACTGTTTCAAGCTTCGTCCGATCTTTCTTCACACACACACACACACACAAAGTCAGCATGTTCGCATACTTCATGTGTACAAAATTTCACGGTTTGGTATGATTTCTCTGGCTTTGAAACAACTTTCTACCCCAGCATGATACTGAATCTACATAATTAGCTAGTTTGCACTACTCACACGATTCACCCGTACGGTTTCTCAACTCTGAATCAAACTCGATTCGGTACGTTCGGCAAATTCTCTTCGACTTTCATTTCTAACCGCACGCGCACACACATCGTTTGCAACCATCCTCTCTGTGTACTAATGAATTTGTAACATCTGTGGCGTGAGCGATCCAGTGATGTCAGAACTGTTGAAATCTACGCAAGCCACGTTTTTGTGACAGTTGTTGACCGTATTCGCTTAATATTTCATCCCCAACCTTTGGCATCAGAGTTGTGTGCTGTTGCGACGACAATCTTGCTTACTTTACGGATAGCATAGTATCTTGACACAGTTTGCAATCGGTTTTCCTCAAGCGTCTGGTCCACATCATCAACGATCAGTCATGTCAAGTGCTCTTTACTTTGCACCACCACCAACAACAACAATCATTCCGAACTGTTCGACCAAATCTGTCCTTATCTCTGACGGTGTGTGTGTGTGTGTGCATGGCTTTTACATCAATACATGTGAGATGTCATTCTCAGCACACTATTGTCAGATATTGTATTGTAAAGAGCACTACCCTTGTAAGTTCGTCACCTTCCATCTTTCAACCATTCTTCATACGCCTCCGTGTGCACTAATGTGAAAGAGAAACTGAAAAGTAATTCATTCTGCACTAACGGTGTGTGACTATTGAAAAACAAATACGTTTTGGCATTTTCATTCTTCTGTATCATTTCTCCTCCTCCTCTTCAAACGTTTTAAGTGTCCTCAACGCGTACATGTGAATCACACTTGGCACGAAAAGACAGCTGCTTGAATAGCACATTGTGCTCGTTCAACTTTCATCATAGAGCTAAGTGCAGTAGCTCGGAACCATATCCCCATCCCAGCCAGTAATAATAATTTGAGCAATTTTACGATCACCGTGACCATACGCACGTCTCTCACACATTGTCCTACTCATTAAATGTGTTCTAGTAGAAATCAGACATTTACTTTTGTCTATCCATAGATCGATGCATGTTTATTGACCCTAATTTTTGCTTCGCTACAGCCCCTATCCAGCATTCCTCTACCTCATCTGCGGTACTTGGCGAACAATTCACTGTGATTTCGGACTCCCGACTAACCAATCCTGATCCCTCCTTACATCCCCAAGCATTGGCTCCACAAAAGTGAGTTTGAACCTTCTTAAGTCTTCGAGTGACTATTCTGCCTCGTGTGTATGTAAACTCATATCGCACTCTGGATTTGACTGAGTTGTTCGGAAATTGAGACCAAATCTGGTTCTTATTTACTGATTTCTTACCTGTATGTTGCTTTTTACCTAAGAGTGAGAAAAGCGTTGTCACGAAAATCGTTTAGAGAAAAATGGACTCAGATAATAGAATTCTCCATCGGAATGCAAAACAAAAACAGCCTATATCTTCTTTATAATACCTTACTACAGGGTCAAGGTACAAGGTCAAGTACCTCTAAATTATCCTCTTCCGCTGCTTCTGTTTCTGGTATTTGGCTTACTCATCGTTTACATCAGGTATGTTTTGTTGATTATCCTATGGCAACGCCGAACTTCCTGCAATACACCCATCAAACGATTTTGAAGTGTATTCTTCGTGCCACAATAAATCGCTGAAAATTCACCGTACGGGTGCATAAACCTTACTTTGACTTGACTATAGAACGACAGCAAAAAGTACCCATAGTTTCATCATGTACCTTATCTTCGTCGTTCCGAAATGCACTACGTCCATCCCGGTTTTCGTCATCTCCGGTGTTCACACGTTTAATCCAAGTACACAAACACTCGATTTTGTCAAACCCCAGAAATACATATATGAGCAGCTCTGCATGGATGATGGTTCTGGTAAACAGACAACGTTACTGTCGCGTGGTTCAATACTACACCTATATGTTACTGAGTGTTTCCGTTTTTTTCAACCAACCATGCATTCTCATGCCCCGGTTTTGGTGGCTGCCCATTTGGATAAAAGAACAGAATGAAGATTGAAGTGTTGAGATCACAGTCAAAGAGGGGATAGAGATTTCATATAGGATGGGAGTTGCAAGAATAATTAGTATCATTTTGTTTACGTTCTGGGGTTTAGGTTGCCGCTTCGTATGGGTGATCGGGAGGTTCTCGTGACTATAGCTTTAACCCCGTTTGCTGTTCATTGCTCAATTGTGTGTATGTGATAGAAAAAACGCTCGGTGCCGGTGCAGTAGCAGTGAATTGAAAAAAGGGGAGTTGGGTGCAACCAGGCGAAATGATGCAAACAATTTTGCAACATCACGACTGCACCTTGACGTGGTGTGATGGCTTGCGTGCCTCCATGACCCTGCGAGCTATACACGATGGCCTTTCACAGCCGTAGATCCAATTATGCATGAAAGGTCAACGGGTAGAGGCCAGACGAAGCTCATTCTCACAAAGCCAGCTGCTTAGGCACCTCCTGGCTTCCTTCGTCTATCCACACCCACCCCTGTAGAGGTCACTCCGGCAAATAAACACGCTGAGGGGTAGTTTACCGGTCAAACAAAAATCCCACTAGTGGGACATAGGAGCGGGGTACCTGGGGCTTCCTCTCGACGGTGGGAGAAGTCTTCGCACTTCATTGTACAGCTACCGCCCGCCCAAGCTGAACAGCTCCCAACCAATAAGGCGCTGTCCTGTCCACGTTCGGCTTGTCTCATTGGGCGCATGAGGCTAAGGGCCAGTCCCGAAAAGCGGACCGACAATCAACGCACCAGCGAACAGCAACCTAATCGAAATTCAAAGACCTTGGGTGATAGGTCTCTAGAAGCTCCTACACGGGTGCTTCGCTCACGCTGCCGCGTTAGATTTGCGCCCCGCTGCCTTGCGTGTCAAGCTCTTGAGTCAAAGGCTCCGATTAGGGTTCCTAAAGAAAAACCCCTTTATCGGTGTGGGCTGCCGCGAAGTACACCGTGCCCAAAAGTCTTTGGCACCCATTTGGTGAACCATTTTTCCCATTGATTCTGTGTTTAAAATGTGTTAGCTTGTAATTTGGGGGAAGACCAGCAAGTGGTAGGGTGTTCCGTAGCTTGGCAGTTCGAAGAATAGAGAAGTACGGCATCTGGGAACAGAAATCTGATAAGATTGACTAGATGCTTGGCTACGGGATGGGCGGGTATTAGTTGCAGGAATAGGAACTGCAGGTTCCGAAGTTCCGAAGAACAAAAGCCAAAGTAGTAGCGGTAGAACAGGGACAATGAAGCAACTGCCCGACGATGGGCTGGCGACTGCAGATTGAGTGTCAGGGAAGGCTCATCGATTAACCGGATGGCTTTTCATTGAACACGAGCAAGAAGGGAAGGAAAAAAGGAGGAAGCCCCACCCCACAATAGAAGATGAGATGAAGTGAAAGAAGGTACATTATATGAGCTATCATATTTTTTCATCATTCCCATCTTACCGATTTGTAAACAAGGCTACCAGTGATGTCTGTTAGACTTCTAACGTTGCCAACCACTACAGTCCGTATCATTGGAATGTGACTGTGCGCGCCGATTACATGTTTTTAAGGTGTGGTTAGAGCTCATATCTCTTCCTGTTCATTGATGACCGATTATATTCTTTTCCTTTCAACTCGTTCATTTACAATCTTTTTTGCGGATCAAGTGCGTTGGCACAGACGACAGCTCAAGTGACCGGTCGACCATCAGGGTTCACATCTCCCACTGGACCACAAGTCGCACGCACAGTACGACACTTGAGACGGATACGGCACATATTCGGAGATTCTGTAAGTTTGGCGTGTGTTTTTTATCGTGAGGTATTCGCCCATGAAATAGGTGTTCTTTAAAATCCCGGTTATTTGTCTGCCAGTTAATGATGCCTTAGTGCAAAACGGGGGAACTCCGTAGCCTTGAGTGATCCTCTTGCTCATTTCGGACAAGGTGATTACCTTTTGAATCAGAATGCAATCACTCTGTTACACGCAAGCGTATGGGGCTCAATGATACACTTCTGTTGGCGAGGAAATCTACTGCTTGAGGCATAGTCGCGGATAAGTGTTGGTCATATGAATAGTACTCCTAGGGTTCAATTTATGGGCTCGTTCAAGCACTTGATTTAATTCAGATTATGCGCTAGTCGTTCAGGATATTCACCGTTAGATTGCTGCAGATTTGAGTCGATTCTGTCTTGTTCTTTTATCGATAAATCAGCACCCGCGTTATCGTGTTGTAGACTTCTCGTGTATACAACTCTGTACTCGGTACCCTTTTTAAAGTTTAACAGATCTCTAGAAGATATTGTTCCTTTATCGGTGCATTCTGTGCTTCTTCACGGAAACCTACTTATCGCTTCATGGTTATCCATGAGAGATTAGTCTTTGTTTTACGAATCGCACAGTCTGTTCGCCCCCCTCCCGAGGTTTGACTCCTCACATTGAAATAATGAGTGAAGTTTGTGCACTGATTAGTTTCTTCATTTTAAATTTTCACCCATTTTTCCGACATCTTTATCGAATAGACCCGAGTTCAGCGGTTACTTTCCTTATGTTCACAATCGGTTTCATTCTCAGCTTGGCTATGTGAGTTCAGCCACCTCAGCCTCAATGGGCGCGCTCGCTGTGGCGGAGAAAAATTGTGCCTCCACAAACAGTCTGGTTGAATTGCGACCGCATGGCAGTCGATCGGTGGAATCGGTCCGACCGGCCAGTCTCGTGTACAAATGCCCGGAACCAGATTGTCTTCTAGAGGCCGAATTGAGCGGCGATCGGGGCTCCGGTGCCTTGTTATTACTTTCGTCCGCTGTTCCGGGTCCGACTATGCAGCAGCATCAACCACATCAAGTGATGATCCGATTCGAACAACTTCCTGCACAGGTGTGTTTTTTAATTGTGATGCTCAGACTCGGATGCATGCGCACGGTTTTTCTGATGAAGTGTGCTGTTCATTTTCCGGAGAAAACGGCTTCGTAATTGATTCGTTAATCAATTTGGGCACGACAGTCAGTCCATTGAATCTGTCATCCATGCACAGAGTATTTTGGGACTGTGAAATTAGCTAAGCTGATTTTGCACATCAATTACTACGTTATGAAGCTCAGTAATTGAAGCAAGTTTTCAATTTTCAAAGTTTTCTGATAGATTATCTTATATGTGTTCCAACGGCGTTGATGAGGTAAGCAGCAATTGACAGATTGAGGAAAATTCGTCTCAGTATGTTGGCGGCAAAATATGAAAATTGTGATTGAAGTGCACCAGATTTGCTCGCTCTGATGCCCAGAGCGTGGAGTCACCCAGTTTATACGGAAAATTTTGTTTTCACACCAACGGGAGTTGGGATTTGCGCTAATCTCCATCTATCTCACATCCCTTCCGATACTTGGTGTCTGTCTATAAAACCCCCGAAAGCCTCATTATGATCGGGCTGAGTGTCTCGGATTGTGACTGGTCACCAGTACCTCACACATCGCCAAATGCTCCCATACGACCAGCGTCTCAGATAGTCTCTGCTGAATAAGCCCTACTCACTGCCTTTCAGAGGCGGACGTGTTTTCCCACAAAAGTGAGGGGACTAATAGCTAACATTCGGGGCTATAACCGGATTGATGAATCATTGTCAGTTCACCTAGGCGAGTTGACAGGAAACTCTGATTCCGAACCAACCAACAAGAGGCGTTCTAAATACACGCATACCTTCCTGGTTGTAGCAGTGTTTACCGGCTCAACTGGGCATCATAGTGTATTGGGAACCTTGGATGTTTGACATCGTCCAAAGGGCTTATGATGCAATGAACTGGACACCGGCCCCGAATGGACTGCAGACTCTGAGCTCCGTCCTATTGTCTTGCAGGTCTGGCTTTCTAGCCAAAGTGTTCAGATGGAGACCGCGAGGTTATCCCCATTCCTCGGTCAGGGCAAACGGGAAGTAACTTGCCCAAACAATCCATGAACACACTACAAATTTCTTTTTGTTTACATGTTGTGGCACATTTTCCATTTCTCTGTAATTGGTTACGTGTTGAAATAAATAATAAACATAGATGCATACATACAACATTTCCCCCTGTACCAGCATCATTCTAATCGACCGTCAATTGTGTGTAGCTGGTGATTATCCTTCAAATCGTTTTACCGCATTTTCCCGTCACATGTGTGTGTTCACAACCCGTTATTTGCTTTCAGTATCAAAACTGCAAATGTCCAACAGTCTGGGAACGATATTATGCCTCATTCATGGATGACACCTTACGACTCACGCGCCTGGTTCCTCATGGTCAAACAGATGAGGTGCGTCCACTCTGCACTTGATTTTTTGCATTTTTATACGTGTCCATACGGCCTTACGCTTCAAATTTGTTCTCACATCGAATAGAATAGAATATCTTGTACATTAATTGTTCATCCAACTGGACAGCAACCAAAACCGGCGCACAGTTCAGTTNGTGCGCACGATAGTGCATGGTTAATGGTTGTACAAACTGAAACTGAAAACGTGGTTTGTCGGTTGCTATCACAGTCACTTATGCTGCTTGATCATCATGAAAGTCAAATAGGCCAAATGGGACTATGCTAATTCAGTCATGGTAACCGTGTTCACTCAGTCCTGATATCTCTACTCCTGTTCTATTCAATCCCTACTTTTAATCACGGATTAGTGCTATGTATGTGACCTAAGCATTGCCGTTTGTTCCATTTAACCGAACAAAAATAGTTCCACAGTAAATTCAAAATACCTTCCAATTGGATATAACAGACCGTTCAGAAGCATCACTATTCAGTGTCTTGTAATCAACCAGTTCGATTGTGTAGTTTCTTGATAGACGTAATATGTGATTCGTGCTAGAGACCATATTGTTATTCGCGCATTGCATCATTCTCCTTACAGTTTCCCGTTTTTCTGTGTGGGACCGTGATTTGTGCACCGAATCTCGAAGTGGTTCAGTCCCCATGAAATTTGCTTGCCTTCCACAGCGGTAAATGGAATCAACTCTCTCTACTTTCACAAGTTTTCCAATTATACTTAGTCTATGTCCCCACCCTCCCTTTCTTACTCCACAGTGTGACTCTCCACCGGCTCATTTGCATCTGAACCTGATCGAGAGTAGTCTGACTTGGCACTCTCCCTCGGATCTTTCTGATTTGGATTTGCCCAGTGGTACTCGCTGGGCCACTGGGGATTCCGTCATCGGGTTCTTACGGATTCCAGCTAGTCGCATACAATGTCAACTCTATTTCTTGCATCGACAACTTGCTTCCGGTCTGCTGGGGCAGTGGGGGCCGATTTCGCTGGCAGCAGTCACCACCACTAGTTCGGTGATTAGTTCTGATCAGAATCTGGCCGGGTTGGGATACACACAAACAGTAAGTACTGTCCTTG